GTGAATTCTTGCTTCGACTATTCCTGTAGTCTCCTAACTGGTCTCTGCGTCTACACTTGCCCATGTCCAGACTATTTCTCACCTAGAAACCAGAACTCCACTACATAAATGTGATGCTTTCATTTCCCTGGTCAGAACACTCCAGTGGCTACCATCACAGTTTAGATGATATCTAAAATCCTTGCAATGGATTACAAGGCCCAGTGTGATCTTTCAGAACTCTCACTGTCTCTCACTGTGTTCCGGGTACGTTGTCCTTGATGCCGTTACTGTAGTACTTTCAGGGCCTTTGTATTACTTTGTCTTCTGCTTAGTCTGCTTTCAAATATATACATATATAGCTTCTCTTCCTTTATTTACATGTGCTGAAATGTCATTTATTTGAAAGGCTCTTTTCTGGCCACCCTTTCTAAATTAGTTTATTCTTTTCCCATCTGCCAAATCACTCTTTTTCTCTCTCACACACCCTTATTTTCCTTCAAAGCCTTTACTACTATCTGTTTCTCTCTCTAAATCTATTTATTTTTGGGCCTTTTTTCTCTCTACTGTCTGTCTGTCTGTAATAGAATGTATACATCTCCAGAATGGTAATAACTCTTAGACCATTATAGTCATATTACTTAAAATTGGATGGATGACTGTCACAGGAATTTGATAATATTTGATGAAAGATTAAATGAATGTGAGTGAATGAATGGATGGATGAATGTTTTTCTCTTCCCATAGGGTCACCTTCTTGGACATAGTTTTGACTTTAGCTTTGCCATTATATGTTCCATTTTATTTTCTATTATGGAAAAGGTATAGGTGACTTATTCTCAGGGTTTGTTTCTTTTCTACCACTTATAATTTAAATAATACAAAAATAACTTTTAAATTTTTTTTTTTCAACGTTTATTTATTTTTGGGACAGAGAGAGACAGAGCATGAACGGGGGAGGGGCAGAGAGAGAGGGAGACACAGAATCGGAAACAGGCTCCATGCTCTGAGCCATCAGCCCAGAGCCTGACGCGGGGCTCGAACTCACGGACCGCGAGATCGTGACCTGGCTGAAGTCGGACGCTTAACCGACTGCGCCACCCAGGCGCCCCAAAATAACTCTTGATTATGCATTAATCTATGACAAATGTTAGCAAAAACCAAATGCTTTGTGAACTAAAAGAATATTTCAAACATCTTTTCTAAGTTTATTTTGTGATTTGACAGTGTAAATAAAATTTGGTTTAGTGACCTAGGTATTTAAGCCCCTTTTTGTCTAACATTGCAGTGATATTTTAAAAGTTAAATAAGATTTCAGGTAGAAATTATGCTTGAGAAATGACAATTTCAGGTAACATCAAAGCTTCCTATATAGTGCTGCACAAATCTAGATGATGCTATTTGTATTATAATCTATATAAATGGTGCTCCCTGGAGATATGCAGTGCTAAAGAGCACAGCTCTGCCCCTGTTTGCTTTTCCTTGGTCCCATTTTCTTTGCTTTTCTTCCACTGTGCTACTGAGATAAGTATTATCCTGAGTTTGATTATCATTTCCATGCTTGTTTTAATATTTTTACTAATTGTGTTTATCCATAAATAATAGAGTTGTTTTGCCTTGCACCTCGCAATATTTGCCACAATTTTATTTTTGAAATGTGTCTCTATGTCCATAGCTAATTGATTTTAAATGTTGTATCATATTCCATTTTAGTAATTTATTTATCCCTGCTCCTGTTATTGGACATTTGGGTTATTTCTAAGTTTTTGGTATAACATAATGCTACAATAAGCATTTTAATACATGTTTTCTTGTGCTCATGTGCAAGAATTTCTCTAGGCTGCATACCAAAGAGAAGAGTTCCAGGTTATAGGCTAGGCAAATCTTAAACTGTAATAAATATTGCCAAATTGCTCTTCAGATGGCTGTAGAAATATGTACACCTGTCTGCAGTATACGTGTGAGTTACCTTTATTTCACAAGCTCCCAGTATTTGTTATTGTTTGACCTCTTTAATTTGTGTTTCTACAGGTAGGAAATATATCTCAATTTTACAGTAGCTTTTAAAAATAATGGTTTTTCAAGTGACTAATTGACTTAATTAGTAAAATAAAATTAATTTTGCTTTTTACTTTTGCTAAAAGTGGCATTTTTTATTTTCTGTAATTAATTATGGATTATATATTTTGGTAGCTCTGGTTGAAGAAGTGTATTTTGCACAGAGGGAACGTGATGAAGCTATTATGTCTCGACTGCAGTTAGCCAATGAGGAGAGAGATGAAGCAATTGCACGAGTGAAGCATATGGAAATGTCTCTAAAAGTGTATGTATACATTTGAAACTATTTGTGACTTTTGGAGCATTTATAAAATGCATGCATTTTGTGGTAGTACATATTCAGAAAGTTACTGATTCTTTTTTTTTTTTTTCAACGTTTTTTATTTATTTTTGGGACAGAGAGAGACAGAGCATGAACGGGGGAGGGGCAGAGAGAGAGGGAGACACAGAATCGGAAACAGGCTCCAGGCTCTGAGCCATCAGCCCAGAGCCTGACGCGGGGCTTGAACTCACAAACCGCGAGATCATGACCTGGCTGAAGTCAGACGCTTAACCGACTGCGCCACCCAGGCGCCCCTGAAAGTTACTGATTCTTATATGGTACACTAGTAAATTCCATATCCCCACAGTCTTTCTGAAACTTTTGACATGCTGTGTAGTAGTTTGCATGTCAGGAATAATAGTCACCAAAAAAAAAGAGAGAAGAAGAATGTACTCTGTACAATTACTTTCTTTACTTTCATAGTCTATTGTTGATATCCTTACCTGATCTTCCTTTGTGATGCCTCTTCCCTGTCTTATTATCGCTTTCTTGATTTATTTCAAATGTGTGGGTTTTTTCACTGCTCTCTGCTTAATCTGCTCATTCCTATTCTTGACTACTTTTGACTTTATTAAGTGTGTCATAAACTTTAATGACACCTGAAATAAGGTGGAGCCTGAGAATTTACACTTTTTTCCAGTATTTATTTATTTTTATGAGAGAGAGAGAGACAGAAAGAGGGAGAGAGAGAGAGACAGAGAAGCCCAAGCAGGCTCCGCCTTGTCAGGAAAGAGCCCTTTGCAGGGCTCAAACTGATAAATCTTGATGTGAGATCATGACCTGAGCTGAAATCAAGAGTTGGATGCTTAACCCATTGAGCCACCCAGGTGCTCCTGAGAATCTACATTTTTAACAAGCACCAGGTGACTCTGACATAGGTAAATAATGGACCACACTTAGATAAACAATGTTCTATAAATAAGTAATTCTCCAATTTTAATGTGACTTCAGTCACTTGGGAAATCTTGTTAAAATGCTCATTCTCGTTCAGTAAGTCTGGAGTGGAACTTAAGATTCTGTTTTTCTTCAAGCTCCCTGATAATATAAATGATGCTACTTTAAAGAGTCAGAAGTAGGTAAAGGCCCTAGAGTATCTAGAAATATGTTACTTGTAAGATAGGTACAATGTAGTAATGTAATATTTTATGATGATCCATCAATATACTTATTGAGTGTTTGCTCTGCCCAACACTGTGCTAGACTCCGTGGAGGATTACAGTAAAGTACTAATTAAAACATTGTTCATTAGGGAGACAAAAAGTCATTAAATAATTAACATGACAGTGTTCAAGTTGTGATTAGGTAATGTGGTTTGTTTTTTGTTCAGATTAATCGCTTCATTTTTTTTTTTTTTTGAAGACTGATAGACACTCCTTAAAAGACATTAAACTCATTGAATAATAGACATAAAGAAACCAAAAAAAAAAAAAATCATCTGAATTCCCCACTGCCTACTCCCAAATAACTATTTTTATTAATAGAGAAACATCATCCCAAACATTTCTCTTTACTTATATAGTTAAACACTATCATCTACAAGAATGAGTGGTTGGTAGTTAAATGGATGTATACGTAGTATTAATTTGATAAAAATCAAATCATTCTTTACATTACTATTTTACTTGAGAGGCAATATAATGTAGAGGTTAACAGCACAGATTCCAGATCCAGGCATTTGTATTTGAATCATGGCTTTTTTACTTCCTAGCTGTACAGCAGTGGACAAATTACTGAGTCTCTGGACTCGTTTTTTTTGTCAACAAATGGGTAAATATTGCCTATTTTGTATAAGTTCTTATAAGAACTAAATGATTTAGTAAATATTGAAAAGTACCTGACTCATAGCTCGTGCTATGTGTTACTTGAATTTAGGAGTAATAATCAATTGAAGTGAAACTAAAGAAATTTTTGAACTTCATGCAAAGTTTTCTTTTTTTTTTTAATTTTTTTTAAAACGTTTATTTATTTTTGAGAGAGAGAGACAGACAGAGCCTGAGCGGGAGAGAGGCAGAGAGAGAGGGAGACACAGAATCTGAAACAGGCTCCAGGCTCCAAGCTCCAAGCTGTCAGCACAGAGCCTGATATGGGGCTTGAACTCATGAACTGAGAGATTATGACCTGAGCCGAAGTCAGTTGCTTAACCAACTGAGCCACCCAGGTGCCCCAAAGTTTTCTTATAATAAAATATATTAACTCCCCAAAGATCCTTCGGAATGTAAGAAAAGAGACTGAAAAACATTAAGGTATTGGAAGCATCAATTCTTCTTTTCACTTTTTTGAAACATGCAGTGATTAAACAATATCCTTTGACTTTCAGCTATGAAATAAGTTTTAAACTCTTTTTTACTTTGTCTTTATAAATTCTAGTTTTAAAATATTTATGAAAGCTGTATTAGATTCGGTAGCCAAATTTCCTTTTATTTAATTTTTATTTTATATTTAAAAGTATTGAATAATCATTACTACAACTTTTGTGATACATGATGTTTTTACACCTGAGTTCTTTATTTTGGGGAATCCCTTGGTAACTGAATTTCACTGTCAGTTTTTTGAGGAAGGGCTAATAAGTACTTTATTCTTAGATTCAGTATGCTTCAGACTGGCTTTGTGTTACCCTTATATTCAAATTGGTTCTGAATAAAATTATTGGGTTAATTTTTTTTTTTTTTGACTCTATGCAATGTACAAAAGTCCATCTTGTGACACTAGTTTGTCTAAAAAGAAGTCAGGTCACAGGTGTTTTTTCCTCACTTACTTTTGGCTTGTGTTTTTGTTTTGTTTGTTGTTTTTTCCTGCCTGGATACCTAAAGGATTCTTTGTTCTTGAAGTAGAACTTAATCATGATGTTTGTGTTGATTGTTCTTTAATAACGTTTTGGAGACCCACAGCATGCCTCTCTAGGAACTATTTGATTCATCTTTTAGTTCATGGAAATTTTAGATTTGTGAATTTTGTATTCTATTTGTTAGGTTGTTTTAGAGACTATAGTTATTCTTGTAATGGGGTATTTTTGTCTTTATGTAGTATCTGTTCAATAATTATTTGTATCCCTCTTTTTTTCTCTGTATTCACTGTGATAATCTCACAATTTTTCTTTATATTAGTAGTTCCAATTGTCACTATTCCTATCCCTGTGTTTTATAGTTCATTTATTAAATTTTTACTTATTTGTTTGTTTGGTTATGGTTCTCAGTACGTTTCCTTAAGTTTTCAACTTCCCTTTTCATTCACTTTATGTTTTGGCATTTTCTCCATGAACTTTATTTTATCGAATTCATGTTCTTATATTCTTTTAAAATACCAACCATTGGAGGTTCCTGGTGGCTCTGTTGGTTAAGCATCCCACTCTTGATTTTGGCTCAGGTCTTGATCTCATGGTCATGGGATCAAGCCTTACGTCAGACCCTGCTGAGCCTGGAGCCTGCTTGAGATTTTTGTCTCCCTCTCCCTCTGCCCCTCCCCACCTATCAAAATAAACATTTAAAAATAAATAAATAAATAATAAAATACCAACCATTGGCAGGAAGATTTTCTTTCTCTTGGTTTATGTTATTTTTTATATTATGATTTTTTTAAATTTCATTTATTCGTTTTGAGAGAGAGTATGAGTGGGGGTGGGGCAGAGAGAGAGAGAGGGAGGGAAAGAATCCCAAGCAGGCTCCACACTCTCTGTGTAGAGCTCGATCTCATGAACCGTGAGATCATGACGTGAGCAGAGATCAGGAGTTAGACACTAAGCCACCTGAGTTACCCTGGTGCCTGTTATGATCCTTTTTTTCTTATGGATTTGTAGTGTATATTTATTTGTTTTTTAATTTTTTTTTCAACGTTTTTATTTATTTTTGGGACAGAGAGAGACAGAGCATGAACGGGGGAGGGGCAGAGAGAGAGGGAGACACAGAATCGGAAACAGGCTCCAGGCTCTGAGCCATCAGCCTAGAGCCTGACGCGGGGCTCGAACTCACGGACCGTGAGATCGTGACCTGGCTGAAGTCGGACGCTTAACCGACTGCGCCACCCAGGCACCCCTGTAGTGTATATTTATAATTGCCATGTCATTTCTCTTCATCTTGCTCATGTATAAATTGTCAAGAACTTTTCTTTGTTCTGATATAGTGCAAGTGAATTTTCCTTCATAAACATTTCACATTGTTTGAAATCTATTTGTCTTCTTCTCAGAGCTACAGTTTCTTGGCAAGGTACTGCTTTTTGGCCACCTGTCTATATAGCCCTCTGGCAACGTGGCAGGCAGAATAGAGATTGGGAAGATCTCCCTGGGGATGTATACCCTTTTATTGGAGGTTCTGTCCTCTGCTTATGGGATTTTGTTTGGTGTGTTGCAGTATACCAAGGGTTCATTCTGCCTGGTTTTGTGTAAATCCTGATTCCATGGAGTATTACTTTGAAGCTTTTATTTGTTCTACCAGTGTAGTAGAAAGTGGCAGCCCTTGTGCTTCTTGCTTCCTTTGTAAAGATTCTTCAGTAACACAGGCTTCTATTCAGGAAGGATTTTACTTTTCTCTGGGCTGTCTAATCAACTCATTGGTCTCTTAGGTTATTTCCAAGTTGTGTATTAGTGGAAGTCTCAGGATTTGGTGAGCTCACTCCTTTTCTCCATACCTGTTTTTATGTGTAAAAGGAAAAGTTAGGTGAACTTGACCAAAATCATCATTTCTCTACCCTGCTTTAAAAAATTACTTTGTGATAGTCCCTGGGTGGTTCCGTCTGTTAAGCATCTGGCTCTTGATTTCAGCTCAGGTCATGATCTCATGGTTCATGAGATTGAGCCACACAATGGGCTCTGCACTGACAGCATGGAGCCTGCTTGGGATTCTCTCTCTTTCTGTCTCTAAAAATAAATAAACTTTAAAATAAAATCTTAAAAAATTACTATGTGATGTCCTACTTTCTTTACTGTTTGATTAATTTTTTTTCTGTTCATG